TCCGATTATCAAAATACCTATTAAGGGGGCAGGCGATGAGCACTGGCCGGAAGACACTGGAAACCAATGGGCTCTGTTCTACTGTCTGGGTGTGGTGGCGGATTCCTTTAATTTAGACAATTTTACACTTCAAAGGTTCAAATAAAGAGACAGACCCTGCAGGCACCGCCCCAAAAAAAAGAAAACAGGAAAGGTGGAGCTGCTTCTGTCACTGTCTGTCTTTTTATTACTGATTGAAATTCAGATGGAAGACCAGCTTTTACTATGACAGATAGAAAGTGGGTGGAAGAAGTATTCAGATCCTTTGGGCTACTTAAGAAAAAGTACTAATATCACAATGTAAAAATACTCCATTACAAGTAAAAGTCCTTCATTCAAACTCCTACTAAAGAAAAAGTACTAATATCACAATGTAAAAATACTCCATTACAAGTAAAAGTCCTTCATTCAAACTCCTACTAAAGAAAAAGTACTAATATCACAATGTAAAAATACTCCATTACAAGTAAAAGTCCTTCATTCAAACTCCTACTAAAGAAAAAGTACTAATATCACAATGTAAAAATACTCCATTACAAGTAAAAGTCCTTCATTCAAACTCCTACTAAAGAAAAAGTACTAATATCACAATGTAAAAATACTCCATTACAAGTAAAAGTCCTTCATTCAAACTCCTACTTAAGAAAAAGTACTAATATCACAATGTAAAAATACTCCATTACAAGTAAAAGTCCTTCATTCAAACTCCTAGAAAAAGCACAGAAGTATTATCAGGAAAAATACTGTAAAGTGTCAAAAAGTAAAAGTAGTTACTGTATTGTGGATGTGTGCTATTTTATATTATATTAAATGGTTGATATTACTTTTGCAAAACATGTAAGAAGCATTTTACTGTTGTAGCTGGTTAAAGTGGAGCTAGTTCTAACAACTTCACATGCCGCCGGGTAGTTAATAACAACCTGTAACAGTTCATTACATTTTACAAGCATGTTTTGTTTGAAAAATCTTAATCTATAAAAATAAGTCGTAAAAATAGCTGGAAAATAATTGTAGAGCAGCGAAAAGTACAATAATTTTACTGCAATGTAGTGGATCGAGTAGCATAGAAAGGAAACACTCAAGTAAAGTTTGAAACTATAAGTAACTATTGAGTAAACAAACGTAGTTTCTTTCCACTGCTAATAGATGTGGATTCAATTTTTTTAAAAATCTGATATTCCCTTAGGGACACTGACCTTCACAAATATAAAGACTTGAAATGATAAGGAACGGCTGCCCAAAGTGGGGTCCGTGGGTTCAAACCTGGCCCACCGTAAGGTCTGATTTAGCCCACCAGATTCATTTATATATAATATGGATCACTGCTTCATTCTTTGTGGGGTAAAATTATCTTTAAGTAATTAGGATCTCTAATTATTCATTATTTTTCACAATCTGAGCACAGCAGGCATAGTAGTGCAGGGAGTCTGTCAATAAAGGGAACTTAGGCTCCTAGCACCATTAATTATCAATAAATTACTAACAAAACCTCCATCTTCTTAACTAATAAGTTAATAATATGATGTGTTTGTGTGTGTGCATGTGTGTTGATTCACCTTTTACTCCCAAAAACAACAAATAAATATCAAGTTTCATAAATTTATTACAAAATGTTAAATAAAATGAACATGTAAAATAAGTTAATGGATACAGTACAATAAATAATCATATTTGTTCTGTCTCATTGTTTAGATGATATTGAAGTGATAAATATCTGACCCTATTTTACATAACAGGCTCTGAAACAGTGTAATTTTTCCTCTAGTCTCTTAATTGTTTAGTAAATCAGTGCCAATTCTGTGAGTTATACAGTTTGATGAAATGTTATGGTTATTGAGATAATACTGAAAATGGCAGTGACAGATGATGAAGATGGTGGTGATGGTGATGATGGTGATGATGATGATGATGAACAGTCAGTTGTAGGGGTCACACTGGCGACTTAGACGGTGCAGATTTGATTATTGGTGCAGACTTTATACACCTGGGAAGAAAAAAAATCATCTGAATTAGAACTTATTCATTAAAGACATTTGTTTGTTCTTTTTTACACACAGTGAAATGCTGAAAATGTAAACTAACTGTAAATACATACAGCACTGTGTGGAAAAAGCCTGCCTATACTCACTTCTTATAGGCAATGCAGTAGATGATGATGGCCAGGACAGCGATAAGCATGAATATCCCAAAACTGATGGCAATCATCTGCTCTAACTCAGGCAGAGAGTGAGTGTGTTCAGTGAAGAACATGCAGCGTTGGCCGGTGTACGAGGGCGGGCAGCTGCAGACCAAACACAGAAATATGTGAGCGCATTCCAAAGGTGAACACGAACCAACATGTGCATGAAGATATGAAGCAGTGTTCTTACTGATCATAATTAAAACATACTCAGGATACACAAGGAACCTACAGGCTAGGCTTTCATCTGTGCGTGTGTGTGTGTGTGTGTGTGTGTGTGTGTGTGTGTGTGTGTGTGTGTGTGTGTGTGTGACACATGTCTTACATGCAAGAAGGTTCGTCATTGTCTTGCGGGTAAATGCACTTTCCACCGTTTCCACAGAAGTTTTCATCTGTGCTCCCACATGGTCTGTGTGAGCGCATAATCAGCAGCTCCTCTATGCTGCCTGCAGAGAGAAGAAGACTAATAAATCAACTGACTAACTGATAAATGGAATGGATGGATAAATGGAATAATTAATCAATAACTTAATTAGCAAAGGTGTGAAAATGATGGCTACACGATACAACAATGGAAAAACAATAATTGTAACAATAAAAACACAATAACAAATGTATTGTCTGACTGCAGGATCCACAGACGTCCTGAAAACGGACAACTTTTGCATAAGATGACTCATGTATGTTAAAGCTTGTGTACGCAAGATAAAGATTTATCATTTTTGGATTTTTGGGGCTCCGTAAACTTCAGTTAAGTGTCTTCAAGCTGACATAAAACTCTTCACTGAAGACTTACTGTTGTTGAGCTGTGTGGTCAGGGTGGAATTTGACAGCGCAGGAGTCGCTGTGGTCTGCAGGTTGTCAGTCAGAATTGCACTTTGTCCCTCTGGGGTCAGGAGAAGCAGCGATGCCACTGCTGAAAGGAAGACTGGAAAACACGGAGGGAAATAACAGAATTTAGATTATTAGATTTTACTTTTAAAATGTTTCTCCCTTGTGGGTCTTTGTGCTGCAAAACTCCGATTGTTTTATTTATTGTTGTTTTCTAGTCAAAGATTCTAGTTTCAATAAAATACGATTCTGTTACTGGAAAACCTGCACTGGTGTGAACACAAATCTGAGCACAAAATTGCTTGCAACTTGGTACAACGTCATTACATCACATGTCATCACCACATTTCAGTAATGCTATAATCAAGAACTATTAATGTATCTTCCGACTCATTTACACAAACTACAGAAATTCTGTCCTTATTTTACTAATTTCTAATCTGAGTATAAACGTACCCTTCTCCAGGTGTGTCTGTCTTTGTGTAAACATCTTGTCTTCTGTCGGGGGGGATGTCTTGATGTTTTCAGCTCGGCTTCTTCTGCCTCTGAAGTGTGATCAGTGATAGTCTTTAGCCTAGTTATATACCGGCTCCCAACCACTGAAAAGATTTGAACAGCCAATCAATGAACTGAAGATTTTTTTTTTTTTAATGGGAAGCATTTCCTTCCCAAAATCCATTTACATCATGTCCTTTATTTGCACCGACTCTCTGCATGCACAGACAAAGGCAAAACGTTGATGGGGGGGGGAAGCATGTGATTACGCAGAAGCTGCTTAAATGTGGTTTCTTCTAAGGTAGTTTCTGAGAACACGCACACGCACACCCTTGGTAGATTGATAGTTTCACTCAAATACCTGCTTTGCAGTTTTAAGAGGTTGCTTCATTGACAATTACAGATGTTGTGAAAGCCTCAATCTCTTCAGAGGCGGGGAGGGGGGGGGGATTACAGAAGATATTTTCTGTGACTGCCTTTAGCTTTACATACATATAACAGATTCAGAGATAAGAATGGTATAGGACAAGATACACATGACAGATTCTGTAGAGAATAGTTTCTATAGGTTGCTGACCAACATTGTCCGGAGCCTCCAGCTGTTATTTGGCAGTCGCTTGTTTTATTGCCATCTTAGTACCATTTTCTAAGGGATCCTCTACAAAGGGGTTTATGAGCTGTAATTACTAGCTTTATTGATGGTTAATATTTCATTCTTTACTTGTACTATTAGAAATTGTCGGTTATTGGATTTAATTCCCAACAACTGATATCAAAGGCAGTTGGCAGTGCTGGTGTGTGGGAAGGAAATAAGGGCATCATTGCATGCCTGGATCTGCTGCTAGTGGGAGAAAGGCCTTGCACATATTATGCTGTCCTGATAAAGCCCCTCAATGTCAGGTTAAAACTGTGCATACTGGTGCCACATTTAATGGTAATGCATTCAATAGGTATTGAGATGTGTTAGTCTGGAACAATGTAGTTGACCAACTGACACTGGCATCCCTAGAGCCACGCCAGTGGGTAAAAAGAATTTGATCTTGTTTTCAAAGAGAAGCTTTTATAAATGATTACAAAGTCATCTTGATTTAAAGTCATGTGTTGAATGTGTTTATGATCATAACACATCAAATGATGGCTGCATGTTTTTGCAAAAAACGAGACAATGTTAGGGAAATTATCAAAGTTCATGTTTTGCTCTGAGCACTTTCCTTCTCATTTTCCTGGGTCAGTCAAAGGAAAGAGATAAGAGAGATGGAAAAAGCAGTCTTCCTTCATACCAGGAGTCAGTAATGGGTGCCCTGACAGCCTGATGGCTAAGGTGTATACAACATGACCACAATGTCCACGGTTCAGTTCCAGCCAAGTGCCACTGTTGCATGTTATTCCCCTTTCTTTACAATGTCAACTGTCTAATAAAGGAAAGGTGCATCAGAAAAAAAGAAAGAATTAATAGTTATTGGCACAGCAGTGTTTTTTTATTTAATACTCATTTTCCAGTTGATCTGGATGTTCAAAAATGAACCAAAACAACAACTTCAGTAGAAAAAATATTAATCTAAATTCTTAAAAAGTGAACTCTGAAATAAATAACTTAAATAAATAAATCAACAAATTCACAATATAAACAAAGTAGCCTACATGTCAAGTAAGTTTTCCAGCAGGTGTGGAGTCTTGAGATCATGGATTGTTAAATAAAAGTGAGGCGTGTGTGTGTGTGTGTGTGTGTGTGTGTGTGTGTGTGTGTGTGTGTGTGTGTGTGTGTGTGTGTGAAATCTAAATGAATGCATGTGCATATGTGTATGTATGCATACACTGTTTGTACTGTATACCATTCAGTAAAACTAAAAGCTTTATAATGTGTGCGTTTAATGCATCAGTGCGTTTCTGGCAGCAGTCACAGTGTTCTTCATCAGCATGGCGACTGTCATCGGCCCAACGCCTCCAGGGACAGGTGTGATGAAACCTGCCTTCTCCTTCACTCCTACAACAGGTCAAACAATTGACATGAAGTTAACAGAGCTTGAATACGACTGACAAGACTGAACTTTCTTTGGAACAACATCCCATACAGTAAGCTGAGCCTGGATCTCAGGAACTCTTCATTTATTTACACTTGTGAAATGTCAATAAAATTAGCAATCCTCTTGGAGAATGGATATTTCCGCAGGCACAAAAAGGTTAATACAAATGAAAGCGTTTTGAAAAAGTAACATAATACATCAGGTTTGTAAAATGAAATTCAAATTGCAAAATGTTATTATTGGTGTTAGTGAAGCAAAAATAATTTGGTTTTGCTGTGTGAGTTAAAGTTGTGCACAGCTTTGTTAGAAATTATATAAAAGCTGCAGCTTTGTTCAGACCTTTCCAAAGAAATTGTAATGGACTTCTGGATCATTTACCCTCAAAGTCCACGTCACCGATGAGCCGGAGTTTCCCCGTTTTTGGGTCCTTGATGCGGTTTATGCCCACGTCGATAACTGCTGCGCCCTCTTTTACCATATCTGCTGTGATCAGCCCAGGAACACCTATGCACAGGAACCAAGGAAAGAAAATTACTTCAATGACACCATCATATCGAGGTGAGTACTGGTGAAATACCTGGGCCCAAGGTTTTGTGGTAATGTGATTAAACACAAATTAATTAAAGATGGATGTTGTAAGCAAAATATGATCTGAAATAATTTAGATTTTAAAACTAGATTTTGACCGAGGGCGGTTCTTCAAGACAACGTGTCAGGATCAGGTAATAAACCGGCACACACGCCTCGGACCCTTATCGTGTCTGTTGATGCTGTGGTGCTGTATATTTCCAAAGTTAAAATGAATCAAATTACAAAAAATAGCCAAATCAGTGAACCGGGGCCCCGAGGTGTTTCATTTTTCAGTAGAATAGTTGTTTACAAACCTGCAACTCTTTATTGATGGATGGCCTCTTTAACTCCAGATGCTAGTCAAGCTTGTGTTATTTATTTATTTTTATTCAGTTTCCTTTCAGTTTTGTTGGTTTGCTAGTGTCAGTCCATTTTAAAACGTTTTCGTTTTTGTTTCGTTTTCATACATTTTAGTTTTTAGTTTCTTTTCTTATAATATGGAAAGAATTGGTCAGGGCAAGATTTCAGAAGCACAGAGTAGGTATTAAAATAGAAACACCATATACGGAGTTACTGCAGCGGCCCGTGTTCGAATCTACCCACCTTTCCTGTCAATCTTCGGCTGTCCTATCCAATAAAGCCATGAAAAGGCCAAAAAAATAACTTTAAAAAAAACAAATAAATAAATAGAAACATACTGACCCACAGTCATGTAGACATCCCAGTTTCAACAAACACGCACCAGTGCCTCCATACTTGTGTTGAGAAATATAACCAAATTGGCAAAGACTAAAACGAAATACATTTCCTTTATATTTTAAGTATATTTTAGTTTTGTAAGTACACAATTTTGTTTCAGTTTGTTTTCTTTTTTTTCCTAAAGTCTAGTTTAATTAACTAAGATGCTTTTTCACACTTCGTGTTAGTTTGTAGTGTAGTTTTCGTTAACTATAATAATTTTGTCTGGACGAGCTAAAAAAAACTATTTCAGTACTGTTTGTTTGTTTGGTTGGTTGAGAGACATCTGTAGCCACCATGGCGTTCCCATCTCAAACACCGAACCAATGTAAATAACCCATTTTAGAACAGAAATTAAGTCCTGCAGGCTCCATTATGGTTTCATATCAAAGTCACTGAACAGCCAGCTGTCCTTTCCTTTCTGCAGCGATGCTTGTCATCTCCTTTTAATCACAGGTTCCATGACAAATACCTCTTCGACTCAGACTTAAAAGGCAGCAAAGCAGAATAAGATGATAGCTCAGTTGACTGTCTACAAGGAAGGAAATAATTAAACATTGTATATTTATGTTGATAATCACTCCACCTTGAAGTTGGTTGTCAATTTGAACTCCTCAGACTGCAATTAGAGCTACTTAAAATAACACTTAAGAACCAGTTTTAGAAAATACCACTGCTCATATAAAGCACACAGACATCAGAGGAGCTCAGGGACACGCTAACTCAGAATGAGTTTAATTAATAGGACAATAACTGCTATTACAACAATTAAATCCCCGACATATACTTTTGATAGTTGTACGCTGGACTGCTGACATTCGCTTAATCATACAGTACAATACAGATACAGTTCATTAGTTCCAAAAAACAAAACTAACAGGTACCCTTCCCAGAAAACTCCTTTTAGTCATCAGGAAAAAGCCCATAAGAGTCTACTAGATACTGCCTCACATTCCAGCTGCCACGGATCATTACCGGTCCTCGAAAAAATCGTAATCCATGACGGTTAGAGCAGAGAAACAGGTAGACTGAAACTTCCTTGTTTATTATTTAGATGGGATAAGATTACTTCAAGTGAGGACTGGTAAGCACTTTCACAATCTGTCCTCCTGGTTGCGTGATCATGCATAATGAAATCGCACCTGGCACTCAGTGGCCCTTTCAGTAACACCATAAAAAGTAGAATCACTTCCATTACAGTACAATTAGTTTCATTAAATGGCATAATGCATGAAAATGTATGGTCATCTAAAGGAAAACAACAGCATTTGCATAGTTTTAAAGGTCCAGTGTGTAAGAGGGATCTATTAGCAGAATGTGGCAGAAATGCAATATAATATTCATACTCAAGTAATGAAAATTACCTAAAGATAATAATTGTTGAGTATTTAGAATGAGCTGTTTTTATCTAGAGATAACCTTCACAGAGTCAGCTATGTTAAACTGCCATATTTCTACAATAGCCCAGAAAAAAACTAAACACGGGCTGTAGATATGGCCTTTTGCGTTTTTCTCAGCCAGTTTCTCCTACACACTTGGAAAGGGGGGTGCGAGGGGTATTAAGTTGGTTGCAATCTGCAGTCTCACTGCTAATCCTACCTAAATCCTATACACTGGACCTTTAAAACATCACTCCAGTTAAACAACAACAGCTATTCCAGTTATTTGAAAGTGAAAAGGAGGATGAAAGATTACTCAGATTATGTGTCATTAATGTCCACTGGAATTTTTAGTGTGACCAATTGGTTCACCTTTGACCTCATGTCTTTATCGTAATTGTGCTTATGATACAATAGACAATTATAATGGACACTGCTGACATTGCAAACTACAAAAACAAAAAAACAAACAATACAAATAATAAGAAATAATTTATTTGAACTTAATTGTCTGTCACAGATTAAATGTATAAAAACCAACAGGGATGCACTTCCATATTACAAACTAATGTTCTATGTTTCAACACGGTACAATAAACTGGACAATGGGCATCATTTCAATATCGGTCCCAACTATCAATAACATAATAAGAAGACAGTACTGCCCAATACAAGCTGGGGATACACTGACACAATTCATGGATCAATGTCTTAGTTGATCCAAAATATTAATCATCAACTATTTTAATAATCAACTGTTTAAGGAATTTTGTCTTTTCTTTGCCTTATGTGATAGTAAACTGAATATCTTTGAGTTTTTGACTGTTGGTTAGGCAAAAAGACATTTGAAGACGTCACCTTGGATGTAAAGGAAATTAGGATTGTGGCATTTGTCCCTATTTTATGATATTTTATAGACCAAAAAAATAACTGAGAAATCAGCAGATTAATTGATATTTAAAATAATAGTTAGTTGTCGCCCCAAAGGTGACTGAAAGTGAAACTTTATGCATAATTGTGTACTATTAATCAATCTGAAAGACTATGTGTCAGTTCTTAAACTGTAAAAGAATAGACAGACAGGCGTGTGTCTTATTGGTGTGTTGGGTGTAATTACCTGCAGCTGCAATAATGATGTCAGCGAGGCTGGTTAGCTCCTTCAGCTGTTCCTTCGGTGTACATCTGTGGGCAATGGTCACTGTAGCATCACCTGAGGGGAAACAAATCAGAGATATCAGTTTCTAAAAGACAGTCTGGGTCAATTAAATTTCAGATCTAATGTTTAAAGCTGTGAACTTTTTTAGGTAATACTATAGAAGCAACAGTCCCTCTGAAGACTGCTGACTATCCTGAGAATGGCCTCTCTTTCAGGGTTTCCTGAGGTGTGCTTCGTCCAAAATAAAGACAGACCCTGCTAATGTCAGACAAACATAATACACTTTTATGAACAGTACACTTCCAGGGAAAAGAAAATGTATCTTAAGATGTTCCTTTATTGATCCCCCGTGGGAGAATTCAAGTTTTCCCAAATTAAAATCTTATTTAATGAGTGAGGACTGTCAACTATGTTCCTGAAGTTAATCCATTTTATCAATATTTTCTAAACCTGACAAGCTCCATTTCATGCTACAGCAAGCGGGCCAAGCTCTACAACCACGATAGTCTGTGACTTACTGAGTTACTGAGTGATGAAGTTACACCATTCGTCCTGTTCAGTGTTGGAGCTTCCTGATTGGCCGTTTGCTCTTATAAAATGAAAGGTGTGAACGAGGCTGGCTGTTGATATCAGAAGCAGATTACTCTGCACCGGTCAACAAAAGATTCTGCTCCTCTGCTCTTTTCTACGTACACGTATGGCTGATCTTTATAATGATAGCATGTATTACACCATCTTGTACCATCTTGTGATGATTGCAAAAAGACAGGGGTTAGATAATTAGTTAGTTGTAATTACACATTTTCAAATTAAACATCTTAAAATATGAGTGGAACGTTGTGTTTTGGCAACTTATACCATTTTTGGACTCAAACGTAAACATGTCATGTGATATACTTTAAATCGGTTATCATTTAATATCCAGGACTACACTAGTGGCTGACCATACACGGTCCAGCCATATACTAGAAATACTGAATACTGAAATTAAGTGAATATCAGGCAACATTTAGACTTTTAAGAAACTGCTGATACTTCAAGTGGACTTAATCTGGACATCTTTGTGATTTATGCATCTTGATTCTATACGATACTATAACACTCATTACATGTGTCAATTTTTTACAATTGTGCTCAAGAACATTAACATCTTATTTATCTGTCTGACTCAGTTCAGGAGGTAACAGTGATGGACCGATTGATCACACTGTACGTTCAGTCTACAGTAAGCAGTGGAAGAAGTATGCCACAGTGTAAAAAAGAGTTTTTATGAGCTTGAAAAAGTATGAGCAAAAAGCTTTTGCTCGGGCTATGTAATTTCTTATAGTGCTGCGAGCCATACAGACAAAATTCCATTCACCTCAGTTGTACTGAGCTGGCTTTTCCGAAGAAAATATCTCAAAACGGCATCAAATCTTCACTCCCTGCATGACTCAGCAACACTGGCGGTTAAATGAAGATAAATAAATATATACTCTTTAAATATATTAATAAAGTTAGCCTGTTTATTATAACCACGTTTATTACATTACTCTTGAACCTGAAATTCTCTTCAAACTCTACGTCAAAACAGTGATACATTCTCTAGTACACTGCCTGGCAGGTGGTGGGTAATCACACTTGATGTAGTGAGTAAATTACACAATAAGTAAAAGTGAGATGTTGAAAGTAACCTTAATCTTTATCTAATACATCCTGCATAGTCATACCTGAACCAGGAGCACAGGTGTGGAGCAGGAAAAAAAAGAGGACCACATAAGGAAGGAAAGGCAAGTCACAGCACATTAAACCTCCCAGTCACATACCTAATGATACGTGTGTGTGTGTGTGTGTGTGTGTGTGTGTGTGTGTGTGTGTGTGTGTGTGTGTGTGTGTGTGTGTGTGTGTGTGTGTATGTGTGTGGGATAGAGAAAGAAAAAGAGAACTGACCCAATACATTTAAATTATCATGATAAAACATTAAAACTTCACTACCCTACCTTATTTCTTTTATGTTTAGCAGAGTGTACTTGCCACAGCTATACCAGATGCGTATTTTTGGATTCACCAACTGTGTCACTGTGTGTTCGTGCACATTCACTTCCTCTCCAACACAGCCTTTCAATAGTAGAGGGCAGGGTTCCCACTTTTTTTAAGAAACAATTTTCTTGGACCTTTCCAAGACATGGACAGGTTTTATTGACAATGCAGGGCAGCACTTCCTCACAAATTGTCATATAATTTACAAGTAGATCTTGTATTGACTTCTTTTACAATGATGCAGGTTCATGAAGTGTCTCAGGTTCATTACAGGTCGGCTGCGACGTTTATGGGACAGTCCGTGTTAGCTTGCTTTTGTAGTGTCTGTTCTCACCTCCGGCAAACTGAGCAGTTCACTACAGTTTACCTCTAACTGAAACATTAATTTGGCCCACAAATAGCAGTTCAAAATCAAGTAGAATTTAGAGCCATAGAAACTATCCTCACTGGAAACCTCACCAACTGGCATCTTGGGATGTGCACGGATCAGGAAAGGAAGACCCTGAAATGAGTAATTAAAACTGCCCGGAAGATCAGTGGTACTCATCTACTCAGCATTGGAAATATTGGTGAGGTGAGGTGCTTGCACAGAGCCCAAACGATACTAAAAAACTGTATCTACCCCAGCCACAGCCTGTTCAACCTGCGGCCATTTGGAAGGAGGTACAGAAGCTTCTGCAACCACCAGACTCAAAGACTGCTTTTTCCCTCAGGCTATGAGAATGCTTAATACATTCTTAGCATTTCACCATGCAAAATATTATTTTAATTTCACTGTGTCCTTGTCTGAGTTCCTTTAAAACCTAACCTGGTGGTCCACTAGTCTATGATACATAACATACAACATGACCACAAATTCCCCACTCAATTCCAGGCAGGGACACATATTCATATTGATATTTCACCCTGCTCTCTACTTCTGTGTTTTTTTTTTAAATTTGTCTATTGCTGATAATTTAACTAAGAGGAAATGCATACATTAAATAAAACATCATTAGCAATGTTCCAGAAATGCAACATATCCTCATCAGCTGTCATCAGATGTGTTGCTGAATAGTGAAATATGCTATGTTAATTGCTTTGTGTGAGTCTTCTGTGCAGTTTGTCATATATACTATAAGTGTCACACACATTCAGTGTATTTAAGCTAAGTTAACCGGCTGCTGGCTATAGCCGTATATTTAGCAAATCCTGTATTTTTCCAATATTTCAAATCTTTACTTTAAAGCATTCCTTATAGCCATTCTTCCGGTTAATCTCTTATCATACAATCTTCCCTGACAACTGAAAACTTGCCCATAATACAGGCTGCTATACCTTCACATGTCAAAAAATGTTGTTGCTTCATCTAAACAGCAAATTCCATACAAAGCCATTCCAAATCTCCTCCCTTCTTCCTACACCCTTATAAGGACAGTTGATCCGTCTGCCAACAGTGCAAAATGCCAAAAGTCTCGCCCTGGTCGAACCTTTTCCCTCACACTCCCTGGTTTTTCTTCCGGCAGGACATGCATCAGCATTTATTGTTTCATTAAAAAGGTGGGGAGTTTTTAAAGCCTTAATTTATTTGGCCCGTTCTGATAAAAGCTTTAGGCATCAAATATCTTTTCGGGAAAGCCACAATGGTGCAACATCATTTGGCTACAAAGAGAAGCACTCAAATCACAATTACAATGCTGCCTCATCTGCACAGATACAGATAAGCATGTACACACATACACACACTTACCCCCAGGGCGTTCATGGTTGCGATCGGTGTGCAGCAACATTGCGATGGGCATTCCAACATTTTTGGAGCGGCCAGCAACCAGCACATTCTTTCCCACTGTTTCAATACCTGCAGAAACACATTTTTGGGATAATTATTACATCTATTGTCAGCCGACACAAAAGTTATTAAAGTGTTTGAAAGTGGAAGGATTAGAGCGATCTGTCAGTTTGCTTATAAATAGTCATATATTTAGTACAAAAATGATTTATTTATTATTACTTGTTAAGTCCGTTCTTTGTGTTTTGCATGAATTCTTTGTGTGACAATGGCATTATATCTCAGCTTTCCCAATCAACATGCTCACTCAATTCAAATTTAGAAATCCAAGTAACGCCAGTATTCTTTGAAAACATCCTCCAAGCAACTGTAGGTATATTACAAGCCTTTATTTAGTGGAGTTTAAAGCATGAAGCAACATATTAATGGTTTAAAAGCTATTTCATTTAACCATTAATATACAGTATGTAGTGTGTCCATGAGAGACAGAAAAACCTTCACCCTCCCATCCTCAACACATTCTTTAAAGAGACAACAGAAAGCACCCCGAGCCGCTTCAACACACTGATAGCTGACAGATAGCTGGTAACAACCATCAGGGTCTCTTGCTCAAAAAAGCCTCAAACATTGTCAAAGAGCCTTTCAATGCTCTCAAAGACTCTTTATTCCTGCTAGTGCTGGGTGGTATGACCAACCTTTCCACCCTATCATAATATGTTAATGTGTGGCAGCTTCTGTAAACGCAGGTTACATACATCTGGTACCTACAACGGTACATCGCCCAGCAATAATGCCTGCTTTTTTAAAGGGGGCACAAAGCCATCTAAACTCTTACTCACAGACTATGTAATTCATTCATTTTGGCCTCTCAGCGATAGCAAGTGAATTAACCAAATCAGTGGAGCAGTGAATTTGTAGTTTGATGAAGGTTTAGCTCTGCTAGTTCATGAACAACAGCGCCTTCTATCTGGTTTGATGAGTAATATGATTTGATGAGTGCTATTTTTTCATGTGTAGCATTCCTTAATTCTTTCATGGTATCTCCAAGTACAGTCAGTATCAGACAGAAATAAAAAAAAGGTAGAAGAAATTCAGTCAGACTAAATACTAAATCACTACACACCATGAAAATGTTTGATCTACAACTGACTTCTTTATCTTTTTGTATTTAATTAACCCAGCCTGCTATTTGAAGAATGATGTCCCTTATTTCAAGTTATTGTCGCTTCAATCAGAACAGTTATGAGACATTTGAATAAAGAATATATTTTGTAACTCAAAGTAAATCCGAGGTGGGTTTGGATGCTGCACTGAGACTAGTTTGTGAAAAAGAGCCATGACACTAAATCTTCCATTTGACACAACATATTCAACCCAAGTTCTTAACTGTCAGAATACTTACATCCTTACTTGGTCAAAAAGATGACCAGTGCATTTACACAGAGGACATACTTTAAGTGCAGATGGGTAAATGATTATCAGGCGCCATCTAGTGGGCCAGACATGAAAAGACAGCTGCACTGCCTCCAGAGTTTACTTTTGTATGTTGTAAAGATCAAATGTGTGCTGAGGTTTGATAAGTAGAATATGAACACAGTATGCATTACAGAGCCAAATTACCCTGACAGGGCTGAAAATACAACTAGCACTTTTGGTGGAAAGTAATTCACTGTAAATGTGCTTTCATTAAACAATATTAGGATTGATAAAGAATGAATTAACCATACCATAAAATAATAATTATGTATGATAGTTCGGAACTTCAATGACCCAACCTGGGGCTCAGGACCCCAACTATGGGTTGCAAAAGCTCCACAGGGGGTTGCAAGGCCTTCTTGATCTTAAGGTGAGTAAGAAAACTTTAAAAAATATAGATATTAGGCCAATATCCCAATGTTAGGGCACAGTGAAGAACTGAACAACCATATTCACAGAGCCTTCACTCCGATAAACAGCCTCATCCTGCATTAGAAAAGTTCAGACAACCAAAAAAACAATAGAAGAATAAGAAAACACAGAATCTATTATTAAAAGAAAGCCTATTACACAGGCACGGTTGTTGTATGCAAAAGAAATACAGATAATAGAATTAAAAGTTCCCTAAAATTACCAGGAAATCTCATCTCTTATTAGGAAATTGTGTTTAATCCAACTCACTTTTCTGTAGTTATCATGTTCACTATTTGTTTTCATTGTACAGTTTAATAGTTGTTCTGTACTGTTATTGCCATTCATTGAATATAATGTGAAATATCCATAACATATGTTACTTAGCCAGGGGTCATCAGTTTACTCAGTGATAGAAAAGAGGTAAGGATAAAGGTTGGGTTGATTTATTATTATTGTTTTTTTTTTATTGTAGCAATGTTAAGAAAAGAACAGTACGAACACAACAAGAAAACAAGGGTACAAAAACTTATTTAAAATTGCATTTAAAAATTGGTCATAAGTAATGGAGCTGAAGAGGTTTACCTGCTCTTTTGATGATCTCCCAGACAGCTGCAGGTGTGGCAGGCACCATGGATCTCTGGTCCAGACACAGCTTACCGATATTCACAATATGGAAGCCATCCACATCCTTCTCTGGAGCAATGGCATTACATACTGCTCGCTCATTGATGTGCTCTAAAGAGAGGAGGGAGTAGGACAGACAATCAGTGATATTATGTATAATAAAGCCAGAACATACAGTAATGGCTAAATGCTGACCACTATGTTATACACTGGGACGACATGTGTTAAATGTTTTAAACCAGTGGTTTTACAAGCCCTGAGTAAGTATATTTTTGGATATTTCACATTATATGCATAACAATAACAGCTAATTAATGGTGGATGCAATAAGTGCAGGAAGTTTGTGTAAAATTAACTATTTGGATTAATTTTGAGAAGATTATTTCCTGGTAATATTACATCAGAGATCAGTTTTTCAGATATTTTCAGGAACGTTTTATACAATTCTCTGCCTGTATTATGTTTTTTCATCATTTTTAACAAACATACATATTTAATAGGCTTCTTTCTTGACTAATTCAGTTCTTTTAGCTCTGTGGTTGTTTCAACTGTGTACATTTCTAATGCAGGACGAGGCTGTTTAGCACAGGGTGAAGACTCTGTTATCTTAAATAATAATCTAAACTTTAAAATCAATAATTTCATTGAGTTTTCTTCACAGAGATGAATGAAAAGCTGAGATACAGGTCTACAGTATCTTTTTTACACCCCTTAAAATCAAGAAGACTTTGCGACCCCACATGAAAGTTTGGCATCCCCTATTGGTGGTCGGGTTTGGAACCAGTGTTTTAAGAATACAGTATGTTTTGAATATTGCAAGTCAAGTTAAAAAGAAGTGTAAAACACCTAACATTTACGACAATTAAAATGTAACCAAAGGCCACTTTAGCCCAGTTTTTCGTATAACTTCCACAATGGTTTTTCACGTTAGGAAAGAACTATACAGATGCGATCACTGCAAATTGAACCGTGCAGACCAGCTCATTTGGTTAATTTTGATGTCAGTGAGGAAAACCTGTGTGCAGATGTGGCCTATGTGTTTACCGGGAAGCGGCAGCTGCACCAACAGGCCGCTGACCCTCCAGTCACGATTCATCTTGTCGATCAGCTCCAGCAACTCCTCCTGGGACACCGAGCTAGGCCGAACCACTGTGTCACTGGAAATACCTGATGAGCGCATACACATCACACACACACACTGCATGTTAAAAACTGTTGCCATGTGCATGTTAGCTTACATTTTTCACATTACATTAGTTTTGCTTATGAAAATTGTGCTCATCCATGTGTATCTTTCCATGTGTCTGTATCTATCTGTCCATGCATGCCTAAAACTCTGTGTTATGTTTATTGATCTATATGATGCAAATTATGCACACAAGAATGTGTTCAGGAATGAATGCATGCAAAGCTCATATCTGACCCAGGATGCTGGCTGCCCGGGTCTTGTTCTTAACATAGGTGCGGCTGGCCGGATCGTCCCCGACTAAGACCACTCCTAGGTGGGGTCTCATGTTGCCCTGAGCTACCAGCTCTTCCACATCACGCTGGATTTCTCTGTGGAGCTGACGAGCCAACTCTGTTCCCGAAATTACCACAGCGGCATGCCTAGAGAGGTAAATCATAAAGACATGAATTCACATAGGTTGCAAAACAGACATAAAACCAGAGAGATAACACATAAATAAACCTCAGGTGATTATGAAGTCATTTTGAACAGAAATCACTGATTCCAGCTTCTCAAATATGAATATTTACAGTTTTTTTTTGTCTTCTGTGACAGTGAATTTAATATCAGACTGTTTGTCCGGAGGCTGAAAGGGTGAGCAGTTATCACCTCTTCTCTCAGGGTCACTTGCCTGAGGGCTTTTTTCCACCCGAGGCTTGTAGGTGGGCGTTGTTTGGACACTGGAATGCTTTCCATGGTTTTCTGGATTTTTTGGCAAGATCTGGACAAATGTTGGTTCAGGCCCAACTAGGAGTACATCACATCCCTACAGCCTCCGCCTAGGGTTTAACCTCTAATCACAAGCCCAGTTGGCCCTAGTTGTTGTTGAGTTCCACAGGGAGACAAGCAACTCATGCACTGGGGCTTTACTGGGGGGAAGATACTACAACCTGTTTGAATGCAAAATTGTTTCCTCAGGTGCCAAGGCAGAGCCTCTTCAGGGGTAAATAGTAAAACTCGTTAGAAGGCTACACACATACTCATAGAACTGGAGTTACATCCAGGTAACTACGTTTCTGTGTCTAGTGGTTAAACACTTGAATTACTAATGGCGTTTCCATCAGCCGCAGCTGTACTCTGTATTCTTTGTGTACATTTAAGCTTTTTTTTAACTAAGCTAGTTAGCTAGTTTAACAGCAGTACTAGTGATGTAATCAGTGCTGTAGTCAAGACCACCTTTGTAGAGTCCAAGATAAGTCCAGGACCAGGACTAGTCGAGACAGAGTCAAGACCAAGTGCAAATGTCTTTGGACCAGTCTTTTGCCATCGCCAATGAGATGACTTTTGGCAGCCAGGCATATGATTGCAAGCGCAATTACCCGCAATTTTCTGAACAAGCGCGCTTCATCAGTGGTTTTGGTTTAAAGGAGAAAGTTACTTTACAGAAATAAACAATCTTAAAAACATAAATGGACTTGGTTGAGAACAGCTCAAGACAGCTTGAAGACAGTTCAAGTTCAAGACAAGTCAGAGACGAAAGAAAAAACATTGTGTGTTGTTGTTTTTGAGTAAGTCAGCTATCATTATATAGTACAAATGTAAGTGAGTAAGATCAGATAAGATATACCTTTAATAATCCCCCGTAGGAGAAATTCAAATTACACCCTGCAGCATTGGGAAATGTAGTGCAAAGAGTACAGTGTACATACAATAGGATCACAAATAAGAGTATAACAAAATATAATAGAAAAAATATAACTATAAATGACAAATATACACAATATGCAATGTGCAATACAATGGTGTACAAAATATTTTAAGCAGCTTTGACTAAAAAAACTAAACTGTACATGTGCAACTGAAGATAAATAATAGGACAAAGGCTATTAACGATTTTGATTTAAATGTCAAGTACAATTGCATGAAAATTGAGCTAATGATGTTTGGTTGGACTCAGTCCCGCCAAATTGTGAAGAAAATAAAAGTTATTACTTTAAGCTTTAAAGGGACAGTTCAAAATCAAAACTACAAATTTGTATTCTTACCTCAGTAAGACGAATAAGGAAGTAAGAGGAATGTGGGAATTATTTCCCTTTCTGTATCACCGTACAGTAGGAAGTGTGTTTCTACTAATGGACAGGAGTCTTGTGCACAATGATATGCTGTGTGGGAGATGGTTGCTGAAAATAGTTCTGTTCCTAAATTAAACTGTGGATTATCCGGTGTCACAATTTCTGGAAAGAGACATTGCTGTTGACTTTTTCAAATGTATTCCTTTCACCACCATCTAGCTAACATTTACGATATATTCTAGAGAAGGCAGATGTCTCTAAAACTCGGCAGCTCACACCAAAACAATCCACATGGATAAAAAGCAGCACAGGTAAGAGGGAAGATACATAATCCGGATTTAGAGATGAACTGTCCCTTTAAATCACTGCAGAACGGTAATTTATAGGACCGGTGTTTAGCGATAGACTGATTAACCAGGCCGGTTATTTTACATTTTGAGATAATCAGGCCTGTTTGGGCTCACAAGGCCGATAAACAATGTTTTCAGACAGGTCTGCAGGGAAAAGTTGGCTTTGAGCCCTGTACTATAACTCTGCTGCTGTAAACACAGGCCTGAATATAATATAGAACAGAACAATAAATTCATTTTCTTTGTTTTGGTATCGGCCAATGGCAGCCCTGCTCTCTAAATATCGGCCTCGGTCATTACACCCCCCGATATCGGTCGACCTGTACCGGTGATTCACCTTTAGCTGACCGTCCTCTAGCAACAGATAACGCTAACGCAACGTCCGTTAAGCTACAACCGGCGAAACTGCGGCGAGTTACATAACGTAACCACAAACACGACTGTCGACAGCCTTATCCGTTCAATCAGACCTGTAATTGACCTCCCCGATAACCGGGATGTCCCCTCTCTCTCTACCGACCCTCTCCTCCATGAACGGTTAAAACCTGCTGTCAATCACCATCCTCCGACACGTGACGGTACCCACGCCTCCACCCGGCGCTGAAGCGTCGCTCGTCCCCTCCGCAAAGTAACACCGTGCGTTAAAAGACAGAAAACGGCGGTGTTTTAAAACGTGGTGCCGGTTACCTCGTCGCCGACTGGTGTAGATGTCTCCTCTGACTCTCGCATTTCCTGTGCATCCGCAGTTTGGCCCGGCAGCAGTGATGGTGTAACGTTAACGGGCTACAAATCCTGAAGGAGGAGCGAAGCGGTGAAACAGAGGCCGCCATGTTTGTGTGTGTGTCGTAGGAGCGTGTGTGTGTGCGTGCGTGCGTGCGCGTGAGGGAGGGAGGGAGGGGAGGGGAGGGGAGGTGGGAGGGGAGGGGAGGGGAGGTGGGGGGAGGCAGTGTGTAGACAATACAGCTGATGAATGATAGGCTGTACTGTACGCTGCACACATACTCAACATACCTGTGCTCATGTGGAAGAGGTAACACGTGTCCGTAGCTGATTATGTATTATTGATGTGTGTCTTTAATTAGATATAATAAATTCATTAAAAAGAGGAAGACATAACATTAAAAAGGAATATTTGAACTGCTTGGTTAACCCTGTTGTTTCCATCTGTTCAGGTGATGTGGCTTTTTGAAGCTGTGTGGAAAACTAAGAAGATGTTGTGGATTAAGATAAGATTAACTTTATTGATCCCTATAGGGAAACTTGCTACAGTAGCTCCAGATACAACACAACAGATAAGAAAAATACACATTAAATAAAAAAAATAAAATAGAAAAAACACAAGACATAATAAAAGAGTTGTATGCACACTATATACAGCTATATATCTTTTTACAGATGTGATTGGTGGATATAATGATATGGATATCGAACAGGTTACACAGCCAGAGGTAGTGGCATGGTGTAAAAACAAAAAAAATTAAAGGAATAGTTATATATAGTTATATAGGAATAGTTTTTTGGGGAATGCGCTTATTTGCTTTTTGCTGAGAGTTAGATTAGAGGAGGGGGCATACCACTCTTATGTGTGTGACGTAAAGCGAAAGCTCCTTCTAGCAGATGGGTAGCTTAGCTTAATGTAAGCACTAAAAACACAGGAAAACAGCTAACCTGGCTCTGTCTAAAGATGACAAAATCCCCTGAGAGCATCTCTAAAGCTCACTAATTAAGCTCAGGAAGTCCCCAGGCCTAGCCAACTAATAGCAAATAGCAAATAAAACCACAAATTGCCATTTGTACACTGGTTTACGCATGTATATATATATGTATTAACTTTAAAGATACATATAATCACATTTAATACAATTATATGGTTTGAATTGGAGGATTTGTTGTATACTTTATATCAACTGCAGTGCATTTGAAGTGATATTTAGACTATAAAATCTTTCTTATTTGAGTTTCCACTTAAGCGAAAATCAAAGTTAGTAGCCATATAAATATTATAGTAGATGAATGAAAAGCAGTGAGTGTCACAGCATTTTTTTAGTTTGCCACAAGATGGCAGCAAATATTTAGTGCATTAACTGAATTGTTTAGGGTCCATTTAAAATGTTTCAGAAATAGGAAGATGTCCACTCAAGAATATAATGTACAAATCATGTAAAGAGTGAAGGAAACAGAACCAGGATTATGGCCCAAAGCTTGCTAGTTTAACCAGACCAATTAAAGAGGGGCAGGGAAAACAATATGGGGACAGTGAAGCATGTCTCCCATAAATTACATAAGAGAAAGGTGCTTGTTGGGTGTATGGGTGTGAGCACAAAGCACATGACTTTTACACTAGAGACTGGAATTCACATCCTGTCTCATGCTTCAAGTTAGTGTTTACTTTTCAGCGTTTTATCAGGACTACAATCTGTTCCCTATCCTGAAAAGTTTAATTATCTAAACATAAACATAAAAACCAGAAACGTGGGTATTCTTGTCCGTGTTTAATATGTTCAGTGTGAACGTTTTGTCATTATATTGATTAATATGTGAAAAAAGAAAGTGAATATTGGACTCAAATTTATCAGGAGGCCAAGAACACAACTGCAAATGAATGCTAATGTGGCTCTGTGCCCATGGTGATAACATGTCAGTATTGTGTTTTTATTTTGTTGTGCTGCCACTCACAGACAAAGAAATCTGTTCATGCAGAAAGCAACTAACTAACATGAGCCAGCTTTCATTACAGTCTCCATTTGATATATATATATATATTTATTTATCAGTCTTGCTCACAGCAGTGGGTTATATAATTGGATTCCAGCATATGGGTGTTAAAAAGTTCAAGAAACACCTGTAAAAATGGCACAAAAGAGAGAGAGTTAAGAAAATAAAACTTGAATGCATCATAAACAACTGATAAAATATAAAATACAGATACAACAAGTATTCATGTAAGCTTGGAACAAAAAACTCATAGTATCACATAATTCTGAAGAATAATGATGGTTAACACCAAGGCATTAAGTTGTGTTTATGAAGCCCTAAAGATTATAGTATATGACACATTTAGAGTAAAGGTTTGTTTGAGTGTTGGGAGTGTATTCAGAAAATGTGGTAAACACCACTCCCAACCAGGCTTGCCTGGACACGAGACAAATAGAGAATGTACACGTTATCCTGGTTGACAAAAGCTAAGCTGCAGTTTACTTAATTGATGGCTTTTACATACATGGCCTGTTTACCAATCCATAGATTGATTGCGTAACTCCCAAAACTTCAACTTTTTAAAGTAGAGACATAATGATGCTGTGGATGATAATGCATTCCAGTAAAAGATCAACGATAATCTTAGTGAACATTTAATTTTCACTGAGAAAGTAACAACATGCAGGCAATCTGCTGCAAAACTGCAGTATTTGATCCAGTGGTTGTTTTATTTTAACAACACAGACTGTACAGTAAACCGGATCTCAATGGGGTATAAGAAGACTCCAGGAAAGCAGGAACAAAGAGGATCAATTTCCTGTAACTGTGATGAGGCTGTGATATTTCTTGTATGACTGCTAGAGAGCAGACAGTACATCTGAGGCACAAGATGTTGACCCTTAAGTGTTTGGTTGGCAAGTGCGGCAGTGACAAATCTTCTGAACAGGGTTGTTACACTTGAGTGAAGACAATAAACTCTTTTTTAAATATAAAAAATAAAATATTTTAATAAAAATATATCATCTTAAAAATGTGAGGATGACTCTGGTGAGAAGATGTCACATGATGATTGATCCACTTTAAAATACGTCACAATTGCACCTTTCTGGTTTAGATGACAGGTTGGATTCAACCAGAATCCAACCTGTCATCAGTGTCAACATAGGTCCAGAAGTCCTTATTCATTCAATCTGGTCTTGTCCAAGTTTGAACCAATTCTAAGGTTTTATAAACCTTTCCGTACGTAAGTCTTGACCAGAAACCAAGTTGGTGTGGCACGTATGGTGATTTGAATCTCTCTCAAGCCCAGACTGAAACTGTATAGCTTTTATGTTGCTTTTAACAAGATGTTTCACTCTATATAATTAAATCTAGCTCTCATTCTTTACACAGCCGCTGGGTAAGTGATAGTTCATATTAAGGTTTAATACACTACTCAGGGCTTGATTAACAAATTCCATTAAGTAGGCAACCATTCCTGGACTACTATGAAAATGTCTGTACTGAGAGAAGATCTTAACGCCTGGAACCGATAACCACAACTTTATGCAATAAATGTAATGTCATTTTTTTGGTTTATTTCAAGATTATTATCACTCTCAGACAATGTAGATGTCAGAAAACTCAATAATAACATTATATAAATTGCTACTTTCTCCTCACTGGGGTGAGCATGAAAGAAGTTCTATTACTATTGTAAATCTGCTCTGAGACCCTTACATGATTTCACAGGATTATGATGACAGGAAAAGACCAGTTGGATTTGTTGTTAGTGTGAGTGTATGTGGAGAGAGTTGGGCAAGAGGATAAATACTGTATGGTGTTGTCCGGTAATATGTGGCCTTGTGTAGGTTGAGAAATTTTATATGGCTGTTTAGTCCAATGTGGAATAATAACGTAGGCCC